CTTCTTTCATTGGGAGAAAGAGAAACTTAGGTGTATTTATGAATAAATTTTTTCTGTAAAACATTTGAATTGGGGCATATTTCTGAGAAAATATATATTATATATAATTTCACCAACATTCTAGATCAAGATTGGACTAAAATGATATTCCCATCATGTCTCATTCTTGAGTAATTGAATTTTCTTTTTTTAATTCTTTAAAATATAACTCGCTAATTTCTCGAAAATGGTTAAATTTATGAAAAATATAGCAATTTTATGAAGATATGTACAAAAAAGATGCAGGATGTACCGCAGAATAATTTTTATAAAATAAATATTAAACAACAGTTTCTATAGCAGTAATAATGCTTGAAGAATTATATTAACATGATTTACTTAAAATACATTTCTAAAACATTTAGTAGTGGATACATGGTGAAAGAGTAGTAATCACATATATATATAAGTAGAAAATATTTACAATACTAAATTTGAGATTACTGGTACGTTCAACTTATTGGATAATTTATATCGATGAACAAATTAAAACAGTAAATAAAACATGCAAGTAATACTGATACTAATTCACAAAACATTTATATTTTTAATTTATTTACAGAAAAATTCTCGTCTTAAACTGTGTTAAAAATATTTCTTTTACTCGTATCGTTGAGTGTTGTTATCGACAATTAAATAAATTTTAAGTACACATTTCTCCAATTAGTAACTTTATGCAAAAATAATTTATATTATACCTTTTCTGTGAAATCAATTATTTCATCAAATTAGCTATTTTCTAGTAAGCAAAAGAAACTGTACTTTGAAAGGGGTTATCTTTAAATAAGAAATTCAATTACTTAAAGAAGAAGGTCGGATAAGAATAAGACGTCAAAGTTATTTTATACTAATGTTTCTATGGATTTATACGACACGATTAAGAAAACGTGCATTTGCAAACATTTCGATGTAACTTTAAATAAATGTAAGTTATGTGCATCTCACTATTAAGAAGAAAAATTAGCAAAGCTTCGAGTGTAGTGATAATAATTAAATTCACGACTACGGACATTTTTCTATAAATGTTTGAGTTATAATAAAAATTGTGAAACACGAAAGAGGCGAAGATATTAGTTTCCATTGTTAGTAAGTTATTACATTTTGAAACAGAAGGATTGCAAGTTGCTACTAAAGAACGTTGATTCATTTCGAAGAGTAATACATTGTTAACAATTGAAATAATTTCTAAGAAGAAACGTTATAAATAGCCTTTTTGGCCATTTGTACGTGTCACTCGCGTTTCGACACATTGTTCTTTATGAAGTAACAAATTACCATGTGAGTAACTGTATAATTTATGCATATATCCTACAATCGAAAAAGAAAGACAAGTAATATTTACTCCCATTCATCGCTAATTTCATGTTCATATTATATAACAAACAGAAACGAAGAGAATTGGCACGTGATGGAAATCATCGTTGGTAATGATCATGACCAGCCCGTTTCTGTGTGTCTCTTTTAATAATACCGCTATGACGAGTGCGCGATTTCGAACTGTCATGATGCAACACTGAGCCCACTCGATTCTGTTTGCGTTAACGTTCATTCGTTAACTCTTACAATTAGATAAGAATGGCAGCGCACTTTATTATTAATCCGATTGCAGCTCGCGTTATTTTTATCAACGAACGGTACATTGTTTCACTGTTGATCAATAGTCGATATTAGAGAGCAATTATGTCTTCCTTCAAATTTGACGTCCTCCGCTCAGATCACGAGGGAGATTTATTTATACACACCCTTCCAGAGATCGAACATTTCAGTATCTATGTGATCGAATGAAACGAGCTATCGGATGAACATGAATAATGTCGATCAGACAGTTCACGCGGACGTATAAGACGCTGGGATACGGGCGCGACTATTTGTGATTGTTCAGTACAGGTCAAACAAATTAATTCTATAGCGGGTTATCGTCACGTTCGCAATGCACGACGCGCGAATGGTACACATCCCGGAGAATTCGTTTCACTGATCTCTCTTTCTCCCTTTTTCTCGAAGGAGAATTGACGTGGGATCCTGGCAGCCTCGAAACACCCCATACCTTTTTGCTCCACGTGCACTATATCACTTACATTCAACAAGTAATCCATTCGCGTATACCTCTCTTTTTTCAAAGCTCCGCGAAACAGTGAGAGAACGCGCACGCGCTTGTATCACACGACGAATGAGCGAGCGATCATTTAAATTCCCGTCCGGCAATACGTAATGCGACGAGCCGCGCTTTTAATCCTCGAACGAACGGTGGGACGAAACCGACTAGCCCGAACCACATCGACGAATGTGGTAAACTGGCGGTGTAGCTCCGAGACACGTTGCCTATCGTAACTGCACTTCTAACGAATGAATTGCCTTAGATATCGTGTACACACGCGGATACAGAACGATGACAGAAAGGAAGATCAAGAGAAAGAGGACGTATTTTCGTATTATTAGACTGGCCTTCGGTCGCAACTTTTATCATAATACGCGTAGCAGACACGACCTCGCACCTCTGGCGCTACCGTCGCGTTGTTTCGTTATCGGCCGATTTGTGATCGGTTACGATATTTCAGGAGGTCACACAGTAGCATCACGACGTTAAGTCCTATACATGGTTCTATTCAAATCGGTCACGTCGATGGATTAGCCGCAAACAACAAAACTGATCGAACGATATCGCAGTAAGTCGATATCTTTCACCTTGTAAACTTGTCGGAATAGAGCACAAAATGTCTTACTTAAGTACTATAATTGTAATATTGTATAGAAAATGTACTGCAACACTGCGTAACTATATCAGTATATAATTACATAATAATATAGAAACGGAACACAAGAAAAATGGAAAAAAGGTGTAGAGAACAGGGTGACCTTTAAAGAGACAATGTTATCCACATATGAATCTAGTAAATAAATTGATCTCTAACTTTAAAAATTAGTACAATTATTTGAAAATGATGGAAGTTGTATACTTTACTATATACATGTTACATGTATATTTATTAAAAGCGATCTGTCCAAGGATAATGATATTATATCGTCGGTATCTTTGGTTACCCGAGACGGGGCAGAGCTGATTCTCGGGGTCCCGTCAGCATGCCCGACAAGGGTAGCCATGGGGGATTTAGTGGGTAAGAATCCCACACTACGCCGTCTCTCTCCCCCAGGTGTCTATGCAAGATTTCCCCCATGTAAAAACAAAAAAAAAGTATCTTGCAGGATTCATCTATTAAATGACCTGATTAATCATAAACAATATTGCACGAAAATTGTTTAGAAAAATCATACATTATATTTATTGTCACATCCAGAGATGTTTAATAAAGTTAACGATAAATCATATCGTGTATGAGGCATTTTAGTGGTTTGAATTTTCTTTCTCTAGACTGCGTTCTCTAAGAGTGCAAAAAGCGACACAGATATGGATGATACGCGCGATCGCGTTCATCCGATAGACACTACGATCATCAAACAGTGGAATAATTTGATTCGTTTCCATAACAATGTTGGTGCGTTACTATTCGAACGTTATTTTCTTCGGTCTAGTTCGCATTTCGCATATGTTATTGTGTACGAAGTACGAGATATTGTGTAAGATGTTTACGAATGAATCAAAATAATAGAAATTTCCAAAATACTATTTCTATATATTATTTTTATGAGAACATATGACAATGATATACATAAACTTGCATCCAAGAGAGTGCACGACATAATAGATATGGTAAGTACGTAATAAATTACGCAAGAATATGCACGAGAATTGTGAAGCAATGAAATAATTTGAATTTCAACAGCGTATTACATAATACATGTTCATGGATTCAGCGTACTACAATTTCTCAATTTTAGTAAAATATTAAACTTAACACTCCAAGAACATATAGACACTTGTTGCATTAAGTAATTTTTTAAAACCATATATCTAAAAGTTTACACAGTATTAAATACATAAAGTACGTTGATTGGCCACCGATAGAATAATTTGTTTTTCTAAAATTTGATCAAAATTTTAAATTCATGTTTTTATACCTTTAATAATTACTGTAATCTTTACCGATTTTCACTTTAATAGATTATTATCCTTTTGAATAATTGATTTAATGTTTAGCGGTACGTTAAAATTCGCAAATTGGCTAGGTAAACAAGAAGTAAATAAATTTATCATGTGTAGAACTACTTGGAACTGCAAATATTTTTTTAACATTAAAAATATTTGAATTTTCACTTTATGTTTTCATAGAATTATGCTAATACAATATGTAATTACATTAAAAATAAAAAAGATAATCTTAAAGAAAACATTCTAAAGAAAACAAAAGTTATTTTTCGCTTGATTTGTAAAAGAAAAATTACTATTTGTCGCTCAATTATAATTTATGTATAATGCTTTCACTCGTACAATATTTCATCAACTAATATTAAAGGCAATCAATCAACGCGAATCGATCAAATAAATAAAGAAATTTCATGTTTCTAAATTCATTTGAATATACAAAAAGTAATTGATAAAATTTTTTATTTCAAATGTTTTCGTAATTCTAGTTTCTTAACAAAATTTTTAAGGTTAGAACCAATCTACAAGTAGAGTGGTGCAATATGCATTATCGATGAAATGACTAATAATAGAGCCAGGATAGAAATGCTTAAGGTTATCGTTTGGTGAGATAAATCTTGACTCGCAGACCTTCCGTTGTCGACGGTTAGAAATGTTTAAATTTTCCGAAAAGAGCTAATCTTGTTGAACGAATCAAAAGGTTATCGGTGTCTAGAATTCAAGAACGCCGCGAATGCGTATTTAGAAACGCGAATCTATTCACTATTCCGTCGCTTCGGAAAAAACAGCTTAAATTGGATTAATTGTTTTTAAGCGAGCAAGGTTATCTAAAGGTCGCGAGCTGCAAGTCGTTGACTTGTTTCTTCTACATACATATGTATCTGTCAAGCCTAACGCTGACAATAAAAATGTGTATAATTTTTAAGGTTAAAAAAGGTCGATAATATTACAATACTGAAAATTACAATTTCAAAATGTCATTTTTCTCTACTTCTTTTTATAAAAAAGAAATTTCATTCTAATATTATTAAAAAATTATTATTTGAGAAACAATTTATTCTATAAATTAGAAAGTTCTTACAGTTACATACAACAGACAGTTTTGTATACATGAAATGTTATTTATTATATCACTTTAATCAAAATATTTGACTATAGTACATTTTACCGCGAAAACAAACATTATTTCTTACGTATAATTCAAGTAAATATATCTCTTTGGCCAATGAATTACAATTTATTTCTTTAAATTAATAAAATTTAAATTAATAAAATTTCTTGTTTTCTCAAGTTCATTTTAAATTTCTTCAATAGACCAATTACAAAATAAATCAAATTAATTAGAAGCAACTTCATCAATCGTAAATTATTATTTCGAGTAGATATTAAATTCGTCAATTATTTTTAAACGAACAAATTTCTTCCCTAATAGCAAATAGCCTTTATAAAAGAATGGAATTAAATTGCAACGTCCTCTATATACTGTGTAAGAGCCCTTTAACTTCTTTCTCACAAGCAAATTTCCCCTCCCGAGGTTCCCCCACTATGCGGTACGACACGCAGATGTATAACATAACCAACGGCAGTCGCTGGAGTTGTGGTGGGAGGACTCCTCGCGTCCTCCTCCCGCCGCGCCACGACTCGAGCGAGACCATCTCAGTCGCATAGTGGGGTAACCTCGGGAGGGGAAATTTGCTCGTGAGCAAGAAGTTAAGCGGCTCTGTACTATATTATAGAGAATATTTTGTAACTATTTAAGATTGATATCAATTTTTACGATTTTTTTCAATTATTATCTTGTATCTGTTGACAAGAAGCTACCCATTACTTTAATTTACGCATATAAAATACTGGCCGGAAATATCTGCGTCATATTTATGTTTACAAAAGTAAGCCCCGTATCTTCTACAGTCTGCGTAATAAATAATAATCTTGCGTAATAAACATATTACAAGGAGAAATACTGTTTTATCGCCTGTCTGTAACACAAGGTATTTTACACAGGGAGGAATTAAGAAAATAATCTTTTTATCTGGACAATTAAAAGTAATATTCGTGACACGTGCTTCCCGAACGAGTTTCATTTTAACAACGACCATCCATTTTTTTTTTCTCGCACATATTCTGGTTATCCTGTCATGTAAACGAATATAAGATTCATGAATAAAGCATTCTATTTATCGATACGAATTTGTACATTTTCCACTTAGTAATTTGGAAGAACGAAAATTTAATAAAAAAATAGAAGTTATCTTTCTTTCGAAACATAAAAGCGGATGTTTTATTTATCATACTGTGCAAGATTTAATCTTCGCGTATAATAATTTTTTTTTTTGCACCTCACTTTTTAATGCAATGAATATTCGAATTTTTAAACGGAGAAAGTTAGTAACTTGCAGTTACCTTCTAATTTTGGTAATTTCATTATTTATTTTGACTAATTTTGAAATATACACAGTATAATTTAATAATTTGATATGTTATGTAATAAATAATAGTGAATTATAAACAGAAGTCGAACATTTAATATTTTCTGTTAGTTTCATTGATAAAAAGTACATATATATGTTGTACTAGATACGAATGGTGTGTAACAGGACAAAGCTTCAAATTATTCGTTATACTGTTATTCATTCGGAAACATTACGAGAATTTTTCTAAAAATATTACATTCTTATCATTTCATCACATTCATTATCAATTTTTGTGATAAAAAAAATAATATCTATACATAGTACTCCTATAATAAAACGCAACAAACAAATGAATGTTTTAATTTAATGATAACTAATAATAACCTATGATAGTGTAAACAATTATAAAATTATAGTTAACACTTTTTTTTCAAAATTTTCTGTACAATTCTTGTAATATGGGTATAAATTGTTAGCATGAAATGAAAACTATATTCCCGAAGGTAATATACATATGTATGTACATACGCCAAATTTATAAAATATTTATAAATTCTAATAAATTTTGTTAACTTATATTATGTAAATTTAATAATGTTTAGACTGATGAAACAGCAATAGTTGGTAATCAAATAATAAATAAGTAACATAATTGAACAATTTCATCTATAGTATTGAACTAAAAATGACAACCCCAATTAAATCCATCGAATTGGCCACCCCATAAATTATATTATAGATAAACATATTAAAAATTTAGGTCTATTTAATTTCAACTTTAGAAATTATTACAGTAAACCTGTGACAGTTACAGATAACCTTCTGTTCTAAAAATAATATATCTATACATTATGTGTAACATCTACATATAATTTGCGTTTATATTTGCGATTTCGATGAGACTATATTTAGCATTTACATAACTATTTCTACTTTATTATATGTAATATGATAAAAGAAACAATATTTAAGGACTAAGGAAGTATAAAACAATGAAAGAATCTTACTGAGTACACATAAACAAAAAAAAACAACAACAATTGCATCAAACAAATGATAATCCATATTGATCACAAAAAAAAAACCAACACATAACCTCAACGTATATGGCAAATAAATTTACGTACACCAAATAGGTTTTTACGGATTAGAAGTATTATCAAGGATAAACCACTTGTTACGTCTAATTTAAAAATGTTTAACAAGTAAAGAAAATGATGAAAAATGTAATAAATTAAATTGCCATAAAACTTTATACTGCCAAAAACTACAATTATTTATGATCAAATAATGTTTCAGGATAAAATGGTGGGGGTAGGAAGTGAATAGATGTTTTACCTTTTTATCATCTGTTTGTAGCATCGTTATTAACCTCTTTGTCCGCGCAATAGTCCCTTTTTAACGTTCGTTTTTAATAATCTTGCGAAGGTTACCAAAAGACAAAATCCTCCACTGTAGACCTTAACCACCGTGTTTGGATTTTGTATATATCTATACGTAGCAGTTGAACTCAATCTGGGTATCCTGTAGGTCCCTAGATAATACATATACATGTATAATTGGCGAATAAAATCTATAGTATTGCTCTAAATTGGATGATTTTTACCCTTGTGTCTATATAACCTAAGAACATTACTTACTTGACTATCAATCAAATAATAATAACAGTAGACAACATAAACTTCAGTAAAAAGTAAAAAATCAAAAAACTTCGACTTTCTAATAGTTTTTATTGAAGTGTGTACAATTTATAAACCAATATTGAGGAATTGTTTGGCACAAACTTCATCAATAATGGCGGAGGTATCTCCTAACAGTGCGAGTGACTGTCCACCAGCAAAAATAATGAAAATAGATACAGAAAATACGTTAAAAAATGCCAACAGTATGCATGAAACAGAAGTTTGTGCATCTGAATTTAATGTAAAAAGAGTACTGCAAAATAATTGCACAAGAAAGCAAATATGTATAGAGGGTTCTTTTAAAGGACGTGAAGGTTCAGCCGTTATTGTATTGGAAAAACAGAATTTTTCTGATGATGATCAATTTTTAAATGAATTCTTTAATAAGGACACAGTTTTACAGAAACTTTATAGCAATGATGTTTATGGGAATTATGAATGCTTTCCAGTTAAGAAACATAATGGTATACTGTGATGAATTTAACCTTATATTATCCTTTTTGTTCAATCGTTTATTGAGAATCTCTATATTTTTTAAGGTATAAATGCAACAATAATACACCCTGCAACAGCAAAACATATCAAAAAGTTTCAAAAGGAAGAACTTCATATTATAGATGAAACGTACGAACTTTACCAAAAAATTACCGTTCCATACATAGAATCAAGCAGTTTTTCTACAGAGGTAAGTTTAATGTGCAGTAAAGTTATGCAAGTATGTTTATAATTTAAAGAATAAAATTTAAAAACAAATAAATATCAGAAGTATTTTTATATCAAAGTCATGAATCATAATTATGAAATTTACATAATTCAAAAATTTTTAATTTAATGCAATATTTGATATGAAGTTTTAAGAACATAATGATTTATTTAATTGTTTATCATCAAATGTTAAAATTTTTATCATTTTGTAGTGGATATACAATATTTTAGAACATAAGGCAGAACAGGATAACATTGTATATGAGGATAAGGATGAAAACACTGGATTTGTAATGGTACATGATTTGAAATGGGATGGACAACCAAATACATTAAAATTAATAGCACTTCCATTTCAAAAAATTAAATCAATCAGAGAGTTAAATGGATCTCATCTTTCATTATTACGAAACATAAGAGATGCTGGAATTGCTGCAATTGCTGAGAAATTTAATGTACCTACTTCTCAACTTAGAATATATTTACATTATCAACCATCATATTATTATCTACATGTTCATTTTGCATATCTTATGTTTGATGCACCAGGTAATTTTTAAATACATTTAATAGCATATTTTTAATCTGTTTTTATAAAGTAAAAAGTTTGTTTTATTATAGACTTTTGTTTAAAAAAGAAAATTTACAATACTTTCTAAACTTATTTGTATTTGAAATTAAAATTACAAGTATTCCAAGTATTTCAAATGTTTCATGATTTACATATTTTTTTCTACATAGGTATATATGTGGAAAAAGCACATCTTCTATCTACAGTTATAAGAAATATTGAGTTAATGCCAGATTATTATACGAAAGCTGTACTTTCATATGTAGTTATAAAAGGAGATCCTTTGTACACTAAATTTTTGGCAGAAGGAATTATAAGTGAAGTAAAGTCTAAAGCTATAGAAATTTAATAAATTGTATAATTAAATAACATATCAAAATATTATTATTAAAATAAATTATTTTATGTGTTTTAATGTATCAGAACAAATACGTACTGATACTTTAGAAACATAGTGGATATCATTATTTATAACTAATGTAATTTTGTGATTTTAAATTACCACAAAATCAACTCGATTTTTTAATATAAGCATCTGGTAAAAGCAATACATTTCTCATTTAAAATGTAAATAGCTTCTTATAAGGTATAGTAATAAATGAAAATAGTCATGTGTAATATAAATTAATAAGATAGTAAATATACAGAGTTTAAGGATTCCAAACTTACACAGTATCATTATCTTAAAACAGATCAGAAGGAACTGGATAAATATATAACTACAAATAATAAACAACGTTATATAGTACATTGTATATTAAAATTATACATATAAAAGTTATTTGCATTTGTATGAATCCTTTTTTATTTACAAAATTTCTTAGAAATATAACAAAACTGTACCTGCAAAGAATTTTTGTTATGTATAAGAAAAAACGTGTTGATGCTTTCTATTTGAAAAAATATAGTGAAACTTAACATATGTTAAGAATATTTCATTAATATAACTTAGTTCATTGACAATAACGTACATGAGATATTTGTTATGAAAAAGAATGTTACTTTTAATATCATATGTTAAATGTGAACAATAAAAAGAATGTACCTAAGATGTATTAAAAATATTTTTACACTTCGATATTGCTAAATTTTTTTGTCTAGTAAACAATAAAATATTAAATTTATGTGTAACATTATTTGCATATTAAGTAAAATAGCTATATTTATCATATATATGTATATATCATTGGAGGAAGTTTTTACTCATTAGTTATATATGTATTTAACAACTTAGAAAAATTTATCACTGATGCATATATGCAAGTACATATGAAATAAAACATTATAAGCTTTAATTTTATATACAACATGAATATTTTAAAATATAACAATGATTAAAACAAACTTTTAATACCAAATTGATAATTACAATGCTTCAAACAGTTCCAGTTACACATAGCTTGTTAAAACTAATTACTTGTATCAGTATAAATTGTTAAATAAGTATAATCTATCTGTCATCATAGTATGTTTATTTTAGTAAATATTTAATATAAAATTACAATTTTTAATTACCGTTTTCAGTATGATCATCGTTTTGTTAGATGTAATAAAATCTCACTTGTAAATAATATTTGCAAAATGTACCAAAAATCTCTATGTACTTTATACTTATGCTTCTACTACACCAATTGCAAGAATATTTAAATCATAAAAGTAGAATAATGACGAACATTTGTGTATTAGGGAAGTGATATTTTATCCATGTTGTTATATCACTGTGTATTCAAATGCAACAAAAATGAAATTCCTGAATAATATAAAGCAGAAAAAAAATATAACAAAACTATCAAATCGAATATTTGGTGTTACCAAAAGTTGGATAAAACTTTTTTTAAAGAGACAATAGTATAGAATAAAAAAAATAATATCACAGATTTTGTAATTTTTATTAATATAGAAGAAACAAATGTTTTAAACGAGGAAGATAACATTTACGGAAATTTCAAATGTGTCTGTATCTTTTAATCAGATCAAAAATATCTAATGATTTTCAATTATATGTTTTAATATTAATCGAATTAGAATTGCATTTGTTTTATCACTCATATATGAAACAGCAGGTGAGGTAGAAAATTGATGAAATGACAATGATAATATGTACACGTGACAATTTAATCATATTAATTATAATATATAAATTATACACGTGTCATTTTACAATATTTATTTTAATAAATATTTCTATCGTATAAATGGCGGTACACAGTACACAATGAAAAGTCATTAAGTACTAATACCAAAAAGTACCTATCCTTTTTCCTCCTCTTTTTAAACCTTACAGCATAAAGGAAAATGTAGAATTATTTACAAAAAATGTAACAAGATTGGGATAGTACTTTTTATGCATACTAAAATATTATATTTATTACGTATGAAAATATTATGAAACATTTGAGTTTTCAAATATGCCCGAATATCCAAATTGTAATTCACTGTGCTGCAATTAAGAGAAGAATGAAATTTTTTTCGCTATCGTCGTGGTCGACGTTAGAATTCTTGCATCATTGTGCAATAAAATGCAAAATACTATGAAGAATACTTGAAAGAAAAATAAAATAAAATTTTAACCAGTGTACTTGAACACGTAGAGTTCTTAAATGTAGGCAAACTAACAATTAAGGTACAAATTTTTCTTTCGGGAATCACTTAAATAATATAACGATATAAAAGTAATTAAAAACTCAATCAAAGAAAATAATCTTGTCACTTCTTCACAGCAATATTTTTGGGGAACGACGCGTATTTTCACCGAAACATTACATGCATTCTCTCTGATGATGATAATAATAATAATAATAATAATCGCAATATTAATAGTGATAATAATAAGAAAACAAAAAAGGGAAGAAAAATTATATTAATTGAGCCGTTGAAAAAAGATGTAGAAAAATCTCTTGCAAGAAAATCTATGCCTCGTATTCTTTCGAAATTGGAATATATAAGAAGTACAAAAGTACATATATAAAAAAAAAGAAGAAAAACAAACATATGTACTTACATGTATACATGTAAAAATGTTTATCGTGTAGAAATATCGCAATAATTAAGTTTCACCTTCCAAAACTCTCATCTTTCGAGCAAGACATTTTGTTTTTCTAATATCTTTATACGCGTGACAAAAAGTTCGATGAAAAGTTTTTTCTTTTGCAAAAGTTCGCTTAAATAAATCGTAGAAATGTTCCATTCATTGTCCTTAACGAGCTACGCACATTCATACAGACTAGACAAATTTCAGTAATGCCAGGTATTTTATTCGAATTGAAGCGGCATAAAAAGTCGAATGGACGATGAAAAATGTAAAAAATGAGATTTCCATTTTGCTAATATGAACGTACAAGAAGAAAAGGGCATTTGCGTGCATGGTCATCACATTGCGAGATTAAAAGTATAATTTCCTTTAATATTATCGATATACTGTTAATTTTCAGTTCTATTATTTAAAGCTAAATTACAAAAAAAGTAATTTTTAATTTTAGAAACGTAATTTTAATGATTCATAAAAGTGACGTGTTTCGTTCTTATAAAATTGCTTAAAATGAAAAAAAGAAAGAAGAAAAATGTTAA